GGGCCTGTTTTGCATTTTTAATCATTATGACGAAAGTATTCAACCGCGTTACTTGGTTTAATTTCAAATATAAGCTTCGTTCGACCGTCCACGGAACCTCCTAACTTTTGGAAGAAATCAGGTATCAGTTGCTGTGTCAGTTGACGTTTACTATGGGCCAAATATACATTTTTGCGTATGTAAAGAGAAAATCAACCGATTTCCTTGAAATTTAATATTTAAATCCTTCGTTTTCAAAACAATGAACATATGAATTTTCGGAAAGATCAAAAAATTATCTGAAGGCCGTTTTTTTACCACATCTACAGAATGAATTGATGGAATTTCTGAAAATTTCATATTTGAGTTCTGGTTGTTACCGAAACTAACTTGCGAGAATTTCAGGGAATCCATAATGTAAATGTGTATATAATAATAGAGCTCAATTCGTTTACAGCAGCGGTGATCGACACATACGACATAATGTAAATATAAAGTTAATAAAACAAAAATAAGGTCCAGGTTTACATTTTTGCGCACATAAAGAGAAAAAATCACCTACTTTCTGTCTACACCGTGAACTTATAAATTGTTTGGAAATGTCAGGGCTCAAAAACCGAACAAGGCGATTTCTTATCATATCTATGAAGCTAATAAATTGATGAAACTTCTCAAAATTAAAAGTTTGAGTTCTGTTTGCTACCGAAATTAACTGACGAATTTTTCAGGGACCAAATGGTTAGCATAAAATAAGCCTCTGATAAGAGCTAAATTTATATTTTTCTAGGTATGTTAAGTAAAAGCTTACTGGCCTCCCTAAAATTTGTGAGGAGTATTTAAAAGGCATTTTCGTAGTCTCATGCAACATTTTAGCTAACCTATACCATTTCTTGCAGTCACGTGTTCGTATCAGATTTTTTTTTTGATGTAAATCAAGATAATGCTTGCAAAAGATATTATAACTTATTATGTTAGTTAATAATGTTAAGTTTATGTAGAACCTAATGTGTATATTACATGTTTAGCTTCATTTCAATATAAATTTACTCTTACAGAGCATTACTAAATTATTCATACTAAACATGGGACTCATGCACATTGTACTGACACTATTGAGCCAACCGACAATGCATAGAGAGGTGAACTTTGTATTTTTGTTTTGAAACTTAAGTTCATGTTCATTTCAAATCATTTCTTATTGATTTACTATAATGAGCACTTAGGAATAATTTTCCTTTCTTTATTAAATGAATTACTAATGTACATGCATTCATATTTTAGCATGTTGAGTCTCAATGCTCAATTACCAGTGAGCAAATCTAAAATGTCAAAAATGGTGAACATAAGAAAAGCTATATTCGTTGAATCGTTGCTGAACATACGAATAACTAACGCAACTATAAGTAATGCAGAGATAAATTTGATATCTCTGGAAAAAAAGGCTAAAGTTTTATATATTCGTATGTAGCTGTTTTACTTAAACAGCTTAAAGTAAGTCACCACAGGTGTGCATGGACTCTCCGAAGTCTTTTAGAGTTGTGTTTGTATTTGAAATTAGTGCGATTCGCACTAGGGGTTTCAGGTTATAATATGTTATAATTTCAGTATTTTGACATATGTATGACATTTGACATTGAAAATTTTAAATTTTACATTTGACATTTGGCATTTGGTGTTTGACATCTGATATTTAGCATATGACATTTGACATTTAACGTTTGACATTTGTTATTTGGAATTTGATATTTGATATTTGACATGTGAAATATTACGTTCGACATTACAATATTTTTGGCATAATTTTATAATTTGTTATAGGCAACTTTGAAATTGAACAAAACAAAGCGGTCTTTGCGTTGCATATAATACATATTATAACATATTATTATGTATATAATAGTGCTATGTACATAATAATATGTGAATAAATTCGTATATGTGCCAAATATGTTATTATGTAGATTCATGTAATTATATTATGTACAGCTAAATTTGCTAATGTAATATTGTAACCCTATACATTCGCATAATATGTTTTTATCTCACATGGCACCCCAGGGAACCTTTCTTTTGTATTGCACTAGTTTCATCCTGTCAGAATTTTATACAACCAAGAAAAAATTAAAGAATAAAAAACAAATATCAAAAAAAGATTTTTTCCACATTTTTGTCATCTTCCGTTTTTTTTTTTGTTTTACTTTGTATTGCTGTTATTGTTATTATCCTTGCCAGAATTATATTTAAATATTACAATAAATTATAAAGAAAAACTTAAAAAAAAAAAGTTCCCAGCAAATGTATTGAAAGGTGACGACTAAAGTGACTTTTCCATGTTTTTTCTTAAATTTTTGACGCTGAACATTCTCGAATTTAAACAGTTTATACATACCGATATAACATTTCTTTCTGTTGTAATTCTGTTATTACCCCTGAAATTTTTTGAAAATGTTAATTTACGGAAATTTCTATTTTCTATTTGCAGTAATCTCTTTCCATCCAAAAATATAGGCTTTACACCGTAGTTAAATAAAATTTTTAAAAATCTAATTTGATCAGGTAGTAGAATCATTGTAAAATTTTGTTTTAAAACTCTTTCTTAACGTTATTAGATAGTAAAACAAATATTTTTTAAAAACATGAATTTAATTAGTCGGATCCAAAAATTAAACTTAACAAATTTAATTATTATGTAATTCAGAACTCTTTTTGCCAAAAATTAAGAACGTACTTTCAAACTTAAGATTTGTACTTTTATAAAATTGATAATTTTTATTTTAATTATTTTTGTTGATGTTACCAAAAATTTTCTTAATTTCGTTAAAGAATTTTCTTCTGGTAACACCTTGTTCTATCTGAATTAAATTTATATATTAAAACTCGTATAGGGTTTGGGATAACAAAAAAAAAAAAAAATAACAAAAAAAAAGAAGAAAGACAAAAATGAGTGGAAAAAAATATTTATTTTTGTTGTAAGGGTTTTGTTTATTTTTAAGATTAACCCAGTTTTTTCGGTCCGTTTCCTTCTCTTAAAGTAAATTATATATGTGTATAAAGGTATAGAGCAAAAATTGTAGCTTGTATCCTAAAAGAAAAATAAAAAACCAAAAAAACTAAAATAAATAAAAAATATAAATAAAATGAAGAAAAATTCATTTTTCCTTTCTTTTTGTCGTGAAATTATTTATAAAAAATTTATAAAAGCACATGTATTTGTATGTATGTACTCTTATACATAGCTTTATACGAAATGATTATGTAATAACTATGTACATGTTTAAATATGTGTTACAAAAATTTATTTATTAACATTTATTTATTAACATTTATTTATTAACATTTATTTATTAACATTTTTATTTATTAACATTTTATACAAAAAGTAGAAATACTCAAAAATTTATTTAGTATGAGAATGAACGTTATATTATTATATGGAGGTAAGAAAAACAGAAAAAAATAATTATCCAGGGACATAAGAATATAAATAATATGGACGTACGTAAATATAGGGTGTTTATCCATAACTGTATGAATTCGTGTGTGTTACGCAGCGCATCATGAATGCAAGGCATGCCTTCTTAAAGAACTTTAATTGAGCTGGTTAAGAAATATGATTAAAGCTAATGAAAGTTGGTTGAATTATATGAAAACAATTGGATTCAAAAAGTAATTGGATTCAAAATTCTATATTGTATATACATAAGAAAAAGAAATATGTACTTAATACATAATATGTACATATTATGTACAATGACATAATATGTAAGAAGAGAGCGGATTGTTAATAAATATGACATACGTAAGCTTCTATTTTCATAATACAAATAAAATAATAAACATATTACTTATGCGTATTACTCGTACATATTATAGGGAACGATATGAGTATGCGTATTATTCGTACATATTCTAGGGGACTGTATTAATCTAGAACTTAGTGTAACTGTATTTCGACTGTATTAAAGAAGGACTTCTTTGAAATTTTAAAAGTTTTAAAATGATAAAAAGAATTGTTATATCGAGAAAATTTCAGATCACGCCAATGAATGATTCAACGAAATCTTTATGTTTCCCAGCTAATTTAATACAATATTTTTCCAATTATTAATATGGAGCCATTCTTATAATAAGTCATTTGTTTTACTAAATTTTTCAAATGATTTGTACTACCCTACAGATTTATGAATAAAACAAAACTCTTATGACTTTGACTGAACTTATATTTTCCATTATTTCTATGGTTATAAAACGCTCACTAAATTTAATTTATGTACCTACTGCTTAATGGATATAATGTAAAAATAAATATTACAACGCACCCAGTAATTTTCAAAATGAAATATTATTAGATTTTTAGCAGAGACTCACATACTTCCACACACATATCATTTTGTTACACAAATATAAATTATGTTTATAAAATAATTGTGTATGTGGGTTATATAGGTATATGAAAAACAAAAAAAAAAAGACTTAACATAAATGAGATAATTTTTATATGGCGATTTAAAAAGGATTGTTTTAAGGATATAAGTATAAAAAGTAGCCCCAGCTAATTTTTCGTTTATTTTCCTTTTTTTTCTCATTCTCTTTTGTGCCATTTTTTTGATTGTTTTTTTTTGCCTTTAATCATGATTATTTTTGGTTTTTATTTTTTTTTTTATTTTTTTGTATCCTTGTTGTTCTTGATTCTATCATATTATATAATAATTACGTATCTTTTAAATTTTTTAAGAGAAAAAACAGTTATAAAAATATTTTTCTTTTTTTTTCTTTTTTCTTTGAATATATTAAGAAATTAAAATTTTAATTTTATGAAATTTAAAAATATGGTAAAGAAAAAAAAAAAGATGACCTTTTAATATAAAGCAATATTATGAATGAATAATAAAGTGAGCATTTAAAAAATATACAGAAATATACCGAGCTACATATAGATTTTATAAACATATTTTTATATAACAATTATGTATTTTTATATTATATTATGCAATTTAGGTATTGAGGATTTTTATACTTACACATGACTTTCAATTCAACTATATTGCTATCACCATCACCTTCCACATTTGATGCTGTACACGTGTAATTTCCAGCTTGATGACGTGTAACCCCTTGTAATGCTAGATCACCACTACTAACAATTACGCCCAACTTTTGATTATGTTGTATTAATTGATTCTGTAATAAAATTTAAAAACCAAAATATATATAAATTTTTATAAAATGAATTTTTGAATCCTAATATAAAATTTAAAGTTAGAAGAAAGTTTGAAAGTTTTCATTTTTGGATTTTCTCCCGGAAATTTATTATAAAAGATTGCAAAATTAGCATTGAAATTGTATAAAAATTTATTCAGTTTAAAAGCATGATCAAGAAATTACTAAGTAAAATCTCATAAATGTTTTATAACTGTACCAAATAATATTCTAGATGTGCTGCAGTTGTTAACGCGTCCAAAAATGGTAAACATTTCAATTAGCACTATCTTGTTATTCTTGTTACTAACGGATTCTCCTAACAACAGTTTAGTTATTTAGGCAACTTATTTATTAAGGAACACACAATATATACTTATATCCTAATATCTAATTTAATTAACAGATACAACCTGGACAACGTGTGAATAAGCGAAAGTAGTGTATCCATGGTTCCATGTGGCGACTTTTTTCTTAGATTTACCTATAAACTTTAATATATTATTATACAGTTATATTTCAATATGCAAAAAATGTCCTTTAACTTCTATATAATTTCCTTGAACTGAGTACTATAATAATATCGAAAATATTTTCATGTTTCTCCTTTTTTCACTACCATATTTTTGTACAATTATTGCAGAATTTTCAAAAAATATTCAAATTAAAGAAAATTACCTATAATAATGTAATTATAGATAAATATAGAAATTTTCATTTTCCAAAACCTATTCAATATGATTTTATCATAATGAATTTATGTAAATATCTTAAATAGAACAATATTTTTAATAACCGTCATATTTTATATAAATATCTTAATTTCTCTTTCCAAATAACAAAATATCATACTTTTTTTCTTTTCTAATATCTATAACATTTTAAACAGAGTGCTTGTGTGCTGTTCATAATGACCAATAATTATTATTATATTCCATAATAATCTGAATTGTTTCATAACAAAATAAAATAAAAATAAAGGAAAATAAGAAAATAAAGAGTGTTGTGCTACAACTAAAAATAACAAATCGATTGTCTTTTGCTCTCTCTCTCTTTTTCTCTTTGTTCTTGTTTTTGATTGCTCTTAAATGACAAATGACAATATTTATATTAAAAGCAAGAAAAAATGAATTTTCTATTTTAATATAATACGATAACCGTTATATTCTACGATGCCTTTTATAATAGTAATGTTCAACTTGGTTGATAATAACCGCTACAATTAAAACAAGAAAATTTTCACCAAATGAAAATACAAAAAATGAAACGAAAATTATCATTTTTATACCGACAATGCCGTCTCATAATATAACAGTCGGTTGGTTAAATATCAAAATATAAATAGAAGAAAAACTGTTATAATACAAGTTTATAAAAAGTGTTAAAATCAAGCATTTACTTGTATACTCGTAATAATAAAATGAGTAGGAGAGATAGTAAAATAAAATATTACGATATAAAAAGGGGCAAAGCGAAAAAATAAATATAACGGGAATTTTCATCAAAAACAAATGACATAATTACGAATAATAAAAATTATTTGGCACTGTTTATTTTTATTCTGTGCTTCTGAGTTGTTTTTTTAATGTTTTTTTTATACGTATAACAAAATACTAAGGAAATCGAATTGTTCAGGTGAAATGAAATAACCAAATCAGTTACAATTTTCTAAAATATTTTAACCACATTAACAAAATACAAAAACTATAACAAATAACAAAACAAAAAACAACAAAAAGCAAATACCATAATTCTCACCAAATTACTACCTAAATGATATTTTTGTGCTTTCATATACCAAATTGAACTTAACTGAAAATACACACATACATACAGTTCCAATTTATACAACAAAAAAAATTACAAGAACATGAATAATATGTTATATTAAATTCATAAAAAATAGTATTTTCGGTAACACCGACTAAATTTTCCATCCGAGACAACACTACAAATTGCGTTCTTCTCTTTAAATATTTGAAATAATTTAATAAATTGTGCACACTTACGTTTAAATAATTAAAACAGTGTTCTATTGAAATATTTTTCTATATTACAATATAGTGTTACCTAATATTTATTAGGAATTTTAAATAACTAATTAAATAAAGATATATGTATATGGAAATAGAAAGTGAATGGGATTATATGCTAAACGGAGAACAAAAAACATCATCAGTTCTTTAAAAGCAAATTATCGGAATATTTTAATGAAATTAAACAGTATTAAATACCAAATTTTTAGTACATTAACTCTTAATTCTATCATTTAGCTCTTAATTCTATCATTTAATTAAGTTTCGCAACCAATATACCTACATTTTTTAGTCAGAATTTTTAATCAGAGGTAGACAAGTGTGCTTGTTTATCAATTTGTACTTATGACAAACTAAACTTTGTGCAATTTGGTACCCTGAGATCGGAAATGTAATAATGCTTTATTAATACAGAATTCAGCTTATAAATGCCAGCTGCTGGATTGTGTATAAGTACAGTCACGGTTGCTCAATAAAAAAACCAATTTTTTGTGGCTTACTCAAATATTATTATAGTTCATAAATATATAGTTAACAAATTGAACAGAAATTTAAATACTAAGTCTGAATATTTCACAATCTTTAATGTGCATATATCATGTGCATATGGGGCCCAAAACCGCACTGTCACCTCCTAGTGGTGGGCCCCGGTAATGGCGGAGGATAAAGGGGTGATTGAAACGATCAAAGTTACGTTCGTGTCGTGGTCATGTCTCGCGGCGAGCCTCTTGCTTTGTGAGTTTCAGCCCTATATCTATACGTCAGCTGACGACAGGCGTCCCAAGTCAAGGTGGAACAGCATATGCCGATGACTGCGTGGCTAAGGGGGAGCTTAGTCGTTAGTATGCGGACTCTGGATACCAGGCGCCCTCCAGTTTAAATGAGCCTTCCCATGGTATGCCGGGCTCTGCCATGGGTGACTTTACTTTCCCGCGCTACTCGTGGGACAAGAAATGGAACATAAAAACAACAACAACAAGACAAATAATAACAGTGACAACAACAACAACGACACCAAGGACAACATACAACCACTTAGTGCTCAAGGGTCTTCGGAACCAGAGCTTCTCTTAACTGACGCAGAGGAGGAACTCCTTCTCACGCCAGTGGAGGAAAAGGCGGCGCCTCCGATGGAGACGGATAATCAGGATCCTCTTGGACCTATTATCCAAAAAACTGAGGAGGACCTGAAAAGGTTGGACATCAGGGGAAAAAAACAATATTTCTCTGGTGCATCCAAGCGGCGTATCGCGGCTTATATCAGGGATGGCATGTCCCCAGAGGAAGCTCGCAGATACGAGAAAGAAAGGCTGGAAAAGCTGAAGGCCTGCGGATCGGTTGTTGTGGCCGACCATCCCCAAAAGAGGGAAAGGTCGGAAAGCAACACCCCTGATGCAGGGCCCTCAAAGAAGAGGTCGATGAAGGGCAATGTTGAGGAAAAGGTCCCTGGGAACATTCCTCAACAAAACCCGAAAATGACTTCTTATCGGGATGCAGTAGCACAGGTCAAGGTGGCCATCACTCATAGACTGCATCCAGAGGAAAGGCTATCCGAAGTCCAGATGGGGAAAATCAAAGTAGCCATCATGGATGAAATGGATAGGGTTGTGGACTCTCATCCACAATTCACTGCAGCGTTGCAAAGGGACGGATGGATATCCGTAACATGCAACAATCAAAACACCAGGGAGTGGATAACCAGTGTCTGCAGGAAAATAAAGCCTTGGGACGGTTGCGATGTTGTGGTACTGGATGGCGACAGCATGCCCAAACAGCATGTCTGCGTCACCTACGTACCAAAAGACGAGACAACCGTCAGTCTCTCCAGGGACAAATTTCTAAGTAGGATAGGGAAGCAAAATCCCAGCCTCAAGATAGGTTCCTGGAGGGTGCTGAGGATGGATAAGGAAAAGGACGGGGGCTGCTCCATCACCTTTTCCGTGGATGATTCCGGATTGGAAGATCTACGGAAAGCGGAGTTCCGACTTTTCCTGAATTTCTTCCGTGTTACCGTTCGGGTTAAAGGAAGAAAATCCTCTCAAGGTGCTGGCGGCAGGGCAGGACAAAATAAAAAACCAGTGCCCACCGCAACAACGACGAGCACTTCAGGCCAACCAAAAGAGCCAAAACTCATTGGAAAGTCTGAAGTCGCTCCGAAAATGGCGGCAAGGGAAACGGAAGGACCATCGACCAGCACGCCAAATACAAGCGTCCCGGGGGAACCAAAAGGGCTCAAGCCCATTGGGAAGCCCGGAAACGCTTCGGTATTTGCTGTTGGAGGGGCTAGCGTGGCACCTGGGGCGGCAAAAGAGGCTGTGGCAGGGCAGGCGCCCACCAAGATGGGTAAAAAGGCGACAATGGGAGGTAAGGCTCATGTAGAGCCTTTGTCTAAAGGGCCAAAGCCCATAGACAAGAGCCGGAGGAAATAATATGGCTGTGAGGTGCATCCAAATAAATCTACAGCATGCTAGGGCATCTACTGATGTTCTGGCTCATAGATTTATGAAGGATCACCTCGATATCGCCTTTATCCAAGAGCCTTACATAGTGAAGGATCAGGTTAAGGGCCTAACAGGTGAGCTATTGTATGATAATACAATTGGGGGCAGGCCTAGGGCTTGCATCTTGTTTAGTAAAAAGCTAACGTATTTTCCCATTCCAGATTACTGTTCTAAGGATCAGGTAGCTGCGTTGGTGAAGGTGAAGTCCTGCGGGGGCTGGACAGAGTTCATTGTGTGCTCATCCTACCTCCCGGGGGACTGTGCCCACCCGGACGAGCAACTGAAGGATCTAGTGGACTTTTGTGGAAGGAGGAACTTCCAACTTATAATAGGAAGTGATGCCAATGCCCACCACACCGTCTGGGGAAGCAGCAATATAAACAAAAGAGGTGAGTGCCTACTTGAATTTATATATAGCAATAAATTAATGATTATGAATGAAGGC